CGAGCGCTGCCGGGAGACGGAGGATGGATTCTGCCGCCATGCCCTGTTTTATGCAACATAGCAAAACGAACTCTTAGCGTAGTGTTCCTACCTCAGCCCGTAGTCAGTGGTGTTTCTATGCAGTGCGTGGTAGCCCCAAACCTGCTGTTTTTCGCCCCGGGTTGAAGATGCAGCGTTCCCTCCTCCTCCTCCTCACCGCTGACGTTCCACGTGATGTCGTGACAGCACAGCCCCGTCCGTGAGCCATCGTCCTCCCGAACTAAGTACTGACCTTGGAACCCTTCTCCCTCGGCTGACTCCGGACTATCGAGGCGCCAGACCCGTTACCTCTGCGGTTCCCACCCGGCGTTTCACCGCCAGCCCGCGAGAGCTGGTGATTCCTCATCGTCCGTTTTCCCGTACGTCCCATATCTCGTCCGGTGTGCCACTACCTGTTAGTTTTACCTGTCTATATTAAAATGTTGTTTCCATAGGTTCTTATATCAGAAATACAAAAATGTCATAATAGCATACTGCATCTTTAAGCAGTAGATGGTAAAATACCTGAAAATGTGAATTTCTTAGTTTTCATAAAAAAAAGAATCTAGAGATTAACCTTTCATGTGCCAAAAACTGTAAGTTACATTTTTCCTTCAAAATGTACCTTTTTCTACATATTCAATATCCTAGTTAGCATAAAATCATTGGTGCCATGAAAAGTATTTTTAAATTTAAATAAATATTTAAATATCCTGAGAACCGGAGTCAGTATGAGATTTGTTCGGCTGTTATGGTGTTGGTACCAGTTTTTCACTCGAGGAAAAACTCAGCTCAAAACCTGCGAGGAATTGGGCCTTTGAGCGGCCCACATGCCAAACTTACCTGAAACCTCCAGCACCCGTGAGCGTGGTCGGGGGGTGAGCTCGCTCTGCTGTGGCTGTTCGGGCCCCTGCTGGGCACGGAACGAGCTTGCCCTTGGCTACTGCTGGCCTAAAAACTGGTCGGTGTCATGCTGCTTTGTGAAGACACAGCCCAGCACAGCGCCACGCGGGGAAATCCCAGACAAAAACCCCCGTTCCTCCTGCTCTGCCAAGCCGTTAACCAGGGCCCAGGCAGCAGGGATAAAATCAGGTTCTAGCGCCCATGCGGGCACAGAGAAGGGCAAGGAACCGGCACACTGGGAATAACAGCGGTGGCAGAGGCCGGAGAGCAACGCCCAGGTTCCTCCCAGATCACTTCAGGGCATGAGGGGGAATTCATGCTCTCCCCACACGAGCTGGCAGAGTGCTCCAGCTTCTCTGATGAAAATCATGCAGCACCTCATCCTACTGATCCAACATTTTTTCTGTTTTGGAAAAATGACCTCAATACTCGGGAAAAATATCTAGTTTGGTACAAACTGTCATAGCAGGATTTTTTTTTTTTTAATTAAAGAAGAGAATGCCAAAGGTAGCTTAGAAGATTTATTATAAAGCTTTTAAAATACACTTTTGTCCTGAGAAAATACAGTTACCTTAGGGACAGCTTAATACAGATTAAACAAATGTAATGCAAAAAGGAAAAAAAAAAAATCAGAGCCCCTTTTTTTATTCTTTGAACACATGAAGGCGGCCGCTGGAGTTGCCGCCCACTAAGATGTTCTTACTGGGATGAACCACGTTAATGGAGCACACGGACCCAAGGCACTCAATGTTATAAAAAGAGTGCAAGAGCTTCCCAGTGTCTTGGAAGACTTCTATCTGCCGGGGCCGTGCCATGCTGCCCACCACGAAGCAGTCCTCCTGTTTGGGGTCCCAGATGGCTCTGAACCTCGTTAACCAGCGGCCCGTGTTATTGTTGTGACTTCAGAGAAACAAAAGGGAGAAAAAGAAAGAGATAAGCATTCCTCTTGGTGAACTCAGCATTTTTAAGTATCACATTTGTGTCCTATTTGCTGAAACCTGTCTTCCTCGCCTTCTAAACCACCAGCACGGTCCCACAGTGGCCAGACCGTGCTGCGGAGAGCATGCAGTGGACCGCTGTCCCCGATGGGTGGCATGGGACACCGAAAGGCAATGGAGCAGGAAGATAAAGCAGAGGGTACTTTGACCTAAGTCATTAGCCAAAATTGTTATGCTTCATGGTTGCATATTTTAGTAAAAATGAGACAAAAATGCATCGAGCCTTTTGATAAACTGCAAATTCAGAATTTTCAAGCCAGTCACTGCCCTAGTCGCAGCTCCTTAGCAATACCAGCCCTGACACTGACTTGCTCTTCTGCAGCACAAAGGGCTTTTACAGGTTTTGAGAGACTAGCCAAAAACATGTGCTTTCCATTAAGAAGTAACCTCTGATATTTAAAAAATGCACAAGGAAAAAGCATTCTGAAACAAAACACACCTCAAGAGCCACAAAGCGGTCTGTTCCAGACACACAGAAGACATTAAAGCCTCCCTGCAGACTTCACCGACTCAGAGCAGGCGGGGACTCAGCTGCTCTTGCTTTCGCAGCAGCCAACGACCCGGAGGCCGGCTGGAAGCCTGGGCCACGATGGCACGCGAGCAGAAGGGCCAGAGCGCACTGTCCTCAGCCCCAGCGCGTTCCGCTTACCTGATGGTACTGAGAACTGCGGCTGTCGACGCCAACGAGGAGGTGTCATAGACCCTGTAACACAGAGCAGCGTGTTCATAAAGACACGGGTGGTACGAAAGGCCGCCCCTTCCTCCCGCAGCACTCGGCACAGATCAGCACGGGCCAGACCACACGTGTCCAGAGTACAGCAAGGAACAGCTCACAAACGTCCAGCTCAAATAAAGGCATCAATATTCCAAATGAAATTAATAAATTTGCTTTTTTAATTGGATTTGCTTTTATCTAGAATCAAAGGTTATCCTTTCTGCAAGCTTTACAAGAAGAGAAGGAGAATGGCTTGCTAGGACACAGCACAGGCTCCTCCAGCCCGGATCCTCTCCGTTTACACTGCCCAGGACCTCCTCACGCAGGCGTGAGCTTGACTGGCAGAGAAACACCAACAGATCTCAGGACTCTCCTTCACCCCAGTGATCCCTTAGCACCCCACGCCCCCTAGAGCAAAAAGTTGTACAAGCTGATGGGTTAAAAGCTGGGTTTTTTTCTCTTTGGAGGAAGCAGTGAATAAATGAACCTCTAAATGAACATTTAAAATGTCAATGCAAGTAAGTTCTTATCACTTTGTAAAAAAGCGATACAGACAGGAAGCTCTCAGTGATGGGTAATGCAGACGGGAAATAAGAATAAGAAAAAATACCAGGTGACATTTTCCATAAAGATTATTGCTTCCCACACCGTCTTACCTCAGCTTGTCATCAGCACACACCGTCACTACTCTGTTCCCAGTTACAGGTGAGAAATAAGCAGAAGCAACACTTTTCGTGTGGCCTTTCAGAACGCTCACAGGCTTGTTCCCACTGGACTTCAGGTATCGAACATCGTAAATACCAACATCCCTGCAACACACACCACACAGAGCACTTCACCAGGTGACAGGTAAATAATTATTCTCCATTTACCAAAACCACTCCAGAGACACCGCAGGTTTTCCCTGAGCTGCGTTAGAACTTCACCTCAGCAGTGTTCACGCACTCAAGCGGCCAGTGGCTCCAAAGGATTCTGAGAGCACCAAAACCAGCCCCAACCAACAGCTCATTCAAATCCCTCTGCACTGCGATCTGTCAAAAACCACACTGACTCCTCGGAGCATTTTGTACCCATTACCAAAGGTGAGGGAAAGTCAAAGTGTGGCACATTTTCAATCCTAAGAACTAGAAGCTTGTTTTCTAAAAAGAGCAAGGAAGCTTTGGTGATGCGCTGGGGCTGACAACTGTTCTGCCTCATCGACAGCTGCTCCTGCCCTCCCAGCGTGCCATTCCCAGCTGACTTCAGACACCCGTCCAGACAGAACACTGAAAACACACAATATCTGCAGTGCCTTTTGGGTTACATACACAGAGCCAGCAGCAATGAAATACTGTTTGTTCACTGGGTGAACGTGGACTGTCCTTGTTCTTTTGAAGCCGATGTCTGCAGAAAGCTCCGAAGATGTTCCTGGCGTCCGTCTGTCCACAACAGCGACGTTGCCCTCCCAGTGTCCCACTATGGCAGTGGAGGCATTATCTTCCAGAAAGTCAAAGGAAGAGAAGCTGTCTTCACTTCTGCAGATCTGAGCACAGAAAAGGTCAAATGTAACCAGAACTAGCTATTCACAATACCCCAAACGCTCTATGGGCTGTAGATTTCATGTTTTCCCTTTTTAATATACTAAAACCACTCATGAAAGCTACAGAATTTGACAGCTCCAGCCTCAGCTGTCCACGTAAGTAACCTTTGTGTACAACTACATGCTTTCCACAGAGGAGATAATTAACCCTCCAAAACAAACTGGCAACAACGGACTGGGAGTTCTCTGTCAGAGCTCCTGCGAGACACTGTCACCTCGAGGTGACACGGCTGTTATCCTCGAGTGCACGCTGAGCGAGAATTAATGATTGCGCTCCTTCCTCCAATGCTACAGAAACTTTTAATCGGGTGCAGAAATGGGAATTTGGCTTCCTGTTATTTGGGAGACCAGTCAGGATGTCAAGCCATCTTATCCCATGGAAGTTTCCTCTCCAAGCAGCCATGACACACAAGTATAATAACACCGCAGTTCCACGTTCCGGCTCTCTCTAGGAGCGCAGAGACCCTGCCCATTAGGAGCTGTGCTCTTTCCAAGGGCAGTAATACTCCTGGAGGTATCACAAGGCTGCATAAGCTGGCATAAGGTAAATGGAGCAGGAGAACAGCATTTCTCTTACCCCAACCTCTAAAGACACATTCTTGCAAGCATTTGTCTCAAAAAAAGAGCCTCCCTGGACCTGCCTGGCCTCCAGACCAACCAGTTGCAGATATTCCCTGCCTGCAACCCCAACAGAATTGCAGTGCTTGTAAGGGTTGGGAGAAAATGCTTTGAACTGTTCTAGCTTGTTATATTTTGCAGTGTTGGAGAGCTGATCAATGCAGATGTAGCTGTCAAAAAATAAGCAAACAAAGCAAGCATCACAAAGCTCCTCAGCTAAGCTGTCTGGCTCACCGCAAAGAGTCACAGCATTCTGCTCACTTGGAGCCTGAGCAAAGCAAAGTCAACTCATGCTTTATGTTGTTTTACTACGTTTATTGGGATGTGTGTTTTGGTTTTTTTTAATTTAGTTCTTTAAATCGCTCTCATTTGTCATCCATAAAAGGTACTGCTTTTGAAAAGAGGCACATATTACTAAAGCAGGGAGATACGAAATTAAATTCAAAAATTGCAGCCGCCTCTGTAGGAAGGAAATTGGGAGTACCCAAGCTGTTACTACGCTTTATTGACTAGGAAGTATCTCCATATTTTTATGACATTAATTAAAGGTTACTTCATGTGTCCTTTTGGAAATGAAATCTTGAACTTTCTTGTTAACAAAAGAGCCAACAAATAACAAGTCAGGTACAAAGAGACTAAAACTTCCCAGCAGTGCATGCTGAGCTTTCCACAGAGCCTGCAGCACAGCCGCGGGAGCACTCACCTCATCAAAGACAGCTCTGGTAACATCGCCACATCGCAGCACGTCATTGCTCAGAGACAGCAGGTGAGCAGGATTGCACGGAGAAAAGTGCATGCAGTTGACTGAGTAGGTGTGTGGAACGAAGACATGCGCTCCTTCTTCAGACTCACAGTTCTGAAAAACAATTGACATTCAATGGACAGATGCTCATCACTGTACTTGGAACCAGTACCAGTTCATTCCACAAAGTTTACTCTGCTCCCAAACTTGTGAAGTCCAACTAATTTCAGGAAAACAAAAAAAGGGAGAGCAAAAGGGAAAAGAGTAGCTTTAACAATTCAAGGTTTCGAGCTGAAATGTCTTTGCAAGACCATAAAGACAGCCTGCAGCACACGGGGGCCTCAGCCTCCCCGTCACCAGATCCCTCTTCGACAGGTAGTAACCGCAGCTGAGCAGTCTGAGCTTCTAAATTGCATGGAGCAGTTTAAACTTCTTTATAGCTGAATAAGAGTCTTGGAGCTGAATTTAGCTGATCAGCTTCCTGAAGCTGTCAAAGCAGAAATGACAGAAACTCGAGAGGTTAATGGCATTACAGAAAACAAGAAGAAAATCTGCGTGTGTGCTCATCCAGCTGGCTTGGATGAGCAGGGATCAAAGCAGAGGAAGGTTACAAGGGGTAAGTCAAGGGCAGGAATAAGGATTCTTGCTGCAGGAGTAATTAAGGCAATTCAGAAACGATGGTGAGACTACCTGCAAAGCCCTCAACAGTTTTCAAAGCACCAAATGCTAAGCTATTTTTCAGAGACTATGTATGTAAGTATGGGCATAGCAATTGTATCTCTGCCATCTGGAAAAACAGTGACTTGCTGCAGCTACCCAAAATTTGTACAACCTCAAAAAACAAATACTTGAGCACCCATTTCCCCTCACTCTCTAAAACCCACTTGTGGTATTGCTACATGGGTACTGTAATTAGATTCCTAATGTCTCAGAGGTGAATTGCAATTTTAACCCTCGCTTATAACATTATTTCAGCGAGTGATCGATTTTCTTCCACTCTGCCCCCAAAAAATACCAGTGAAACCTCTCCTCCCATTAAACCTGGGCTTGCCAAGGACCAGACAGACCTTTCAAGCAATTCTGGCGAGCCTCAATTTAACAGACACCCCAGTGTTATCTGTAAGAACAGGGAAAGTCTAAAACACCATCGCGAGCCTGACAAAATGACGCTCCAGGCTGTGCCCCATCAGCATCCAGCCTGCAGCAGACAGCTCTGCCAGGTGCAGAGCACACCAACAACTCACCACATTCCAGAACCCGATCTGCCCAGACTTGTCGCCAGCTGCCACAAAGATGATGCTCTCAGATGGATGGATAGCCATCGAACACACTCGGTATTTCACCACCTTTTTAATGTTCTCTTCGCTGAGGACCATGCTGTTCAGGCTCTCTTGGTATCTACACAACAGCAAGAAAATGTTAGCTGTTCAGGAGGAGGAAGGAGGAGAACAAGACAACACCCAGATTTTAGCTGCTGTCATCAGGTTACCTTTTCATGCCCCACGTGCGCTTTTCAGGATCATTAGCTTTCATCTACAGACAGACAGGCAATATTTATCAGAATGAGAACCCAAGCTACATTATGTTATCCAAAAATAACTAACTGCAACTAATAATACCTCACTTATCCTCATCCATGTAGCCAGTAAGTCCTCTGTCAATTTACGGTTCTCCATCTCATCTTCTGGAACCATTGGCAAAGGTCCAGCTGGAACTTGAGGCTGGAATGAGCAATTTTCATAACTCAGAACAACTAAAATTACAAACAGGGGGAATGATACTTTCCACACACCAGATATTCTGAGAACATACCTATGATAATACAATAAACATTTTAAAAAGTTATCAAAATCTTATAAAAAAGATTAATAGAAATTTACTGAACACAACAGGAAAGATAAATAGCTACCCTGTGTTTTTTCCTCTCCTTTCTGATACTCCAGCAAGGCTGATCTTCATGAACTGTACTGCAGAGATTTAGTTTTATTCTATTGCACCGCAGAAGATTTAAATTCCCATTTCTCAGAGCAATAGAATTTTTACTTGTTCCTATATAACTACTTCAAAAAGGTAGTAAATATTGCAAAGGAAAATAAACCCGATCAAAAGTTACAGTGAAATAACATTAAAAGAGTAACAGAACTTTGAATTTAAAGCTGCTCAAATCTATGGGCTGTTGAAACATACATAACGTTTTACCTCGGGACCCTCTGATCATCCAAAACTGCACCATTTCATCAACCTCAGTCGCAGAATACTGACTAACTTTCAGAGGGGACGTGGGAAGCCTGCTATTCAAGACGGTGCAGGGTGAAAGCATTTACCTTTTCTTATTGCCACTGTACAATGCACCTTCCCGCATGTCTGAAGGTTTTTACAGTGAGCCCCGCAATGACAACTATTATCAGTCAACTTCAGCAGCACCGTTTTTATAAAGCTTCTGGGTACACACACACACACACACACACGCGTCTCCCCTGACCCTTCCCCATCTTACATATTCCTCTGCTTCTGGCTGGCCAGGCAGCTCCGACATTGGAATTCCTGACGGCTCCACTCTTTGCAAGCGCATGGATCGCCGCCGGACTGTTTCATCTTCTGCCTTTTTAGGCTTAGCTCTAGAACAATTAAAACATTTCAAAATTACAGACAGTCAAGTAACATAAGTCCTCTGCCTTTAAGGACAAGACCTCAGCTTAGGTTCAGATGTACAGCTCTAACACCTTGGCCCAGGCTTACAGCCCAGCTCGTTCCCATTCACTTTAGGAGTGTTGTGATTACTTTTTCCTTCTGTCACAGCAACGAACACCACAAAGAGCACTTTGCAATGCATATGTAAGTACTGCGTTCTTATTTCGCTCGTCATACATCCTGCCACTGTCACTTCTCTTCCCAGCCCTCCTGATTTATAATTCATCCTTCCGCTCACTGATCTCATCATCTTTTTCACCTCTCTTCCATCATGTATCTTATGCTTTATTTGGACTTAAGCTCATTTTTCTGCTTTGCCTGGCACTGTTTTGGCACTGCCAAATGTCTTTTCTTCTACACTAACTGCTTACCCTGTCCCTTGCATCTAGTTCTCCCCCTCTCTTTCTTTCCCACACCTTTTCCCGTCATTTGTTTTAATCATTTAACATGTCTTTCTTTAGTCATCATGCAAAAGTATTGCCAGAAAAAAAAAAGTGCTTGAAATACCTTAATACAAATATCACAACAACCAAATTCTGTAATTTGACAAGAAAGACATTAATACTGTCATTTTCTTCCCCAAGGACGGCAGAGGGGAGGGACTACTTCATGAACTCATACAGCTTAAGATAATCAGTTATTGGGATTTAGCTTTATAGGGAGACTCCTCACTAGCTCTCCCTCTTCACAGTGCCAGGTATGTGCAGATGGAAGCACTCAAACATCTAACACACAATGAAGGAACAGCGATACGGATCTCATATACAGTTATTTTACCTTTTGGTGACATTAGACTGTCTTTTAGTTGCAATTTTTTGAAGTCTTGCAGCTGACTTGAAGAGAAAAAAAAAATTTAAAAAATACATAACAAGCATAAAAGATTAACCTGGATAAAATACAATTTTCTACAGGCTGCAGTGAAGTATATTCTAATTATTTAGAACAATAATAAAAGGAGATTTTTAAGCATCAAACTGTGTTTTGTCTGCTTTGCCTCCATGTACCAGCAAGAATTCCCTGATTTCTCTGAATGGCGTGCAGGAGCACAGCACAGTCTGGATGTTCTGTAGCCTTTTTCTTTACGGAACAAAGAAAATATTCTAGAAGCTATGCACCAGACACAGAAAGACCTTTAAAGTAGCACCTGCAACCATTCAGACTCTTCTCCATGACCTTCTGAAGGCAGGTGTTTAGTCCCTTTGGGCTCCAGAACAGTTTGGGCATGTCCGGCTAGGACCGCTGCTCCACTCCTGCTCCAGCCAAAGCAGCACGAACCCTGGCACGAGATTTACCTGCTCCTGGGGTTGGGCAGCCCACACTGGCCAGTGCTAATGGCAACCGAGATGGGTATAGCTCCTTTTGCTAGCCTTGGCTACTCTGCGGCCAGCGCTGTGACTACCACCAGCCTGCCTAGTCTCTGCTGACCTCTCTGAAGGGAACGGGAAGAAAATGAGGTATTTTTACTCAAGTTTCAGTCTTGGTGGTAAGGAGTCTTAGTGCCTACTAGACAGGCCCAACCGTGTCTTGCAACCTGGGACGACGAGCAAGCAAGCAAGCACGGAGCCATCCAGGGAGGTAATGCACTCGCTGCTGCTAGAAAATGGATAGATCATGAATTTAAAAAATAAAAAAAAGAGAATTAAAGAGTATGGGAAAAAAGGGTAAAGATTTGGACCTACTCACGTGACAGCATTTGAAATTTCACAGCCTTAAGCTTCTAGACAACTTCTCCAACACAAGAAGAATTACAGCACCCTTATGTCCATGCTATGGCCCAAAACAGACAGGATGCGGGGAAGGACTCCAGCAGCAGATGCCCTGCAGGCGCTTCCCAAGAGCCTCTCCCGCACAGGGCGGTGAGCTGAGCCATCCCGACAGCCCCAGACCTGCCACCCAGCGCCTGTCAGATAACCAGGTAACCTGCGTGCGCTGCGTGTGAAACACAAGAGCCCAGTGGCCCTGCCGGGGAACGCCAGTGCCCAGGTAGGGCTGGGAGCACTCGTTACACAAGGGAGCGGGACGCTGCACGTACGGCGCTCACGCTGCCCAGAACATACACACGAGCACCTCCACGTGAGCGTTTCACCCATGGGTCACCTCACCTGGTGCTGCGGGGTCTGCAGCTCTGGGACCACACGCACTAGTGCAGCTGGATGCTGCTGGTACGGAATACCGCAGGAACAGAGCTTTGCTTTCTTCACCTTTTGTAAGTTTAACTAATGACTTCCCCTCTTTGGAAAAAGCTAGCAAGTAGCACAAAACCCCCATTTGTTTTATCCAGTCAGGGCAGTCCTGATGTCTCAGGAGGTTTTTGTGGCTTTCCTCACACACCTGCCACTGTTGGGAAGGGTTTCACAACGAGAGGGATGACAGTACAATTATTACACCTGGAGAGCGCAAAGATGCTACTTAGAATCTGTACAAACCTCATGCAGTTTTAGAGAAGCAAAGAATTTAGCATTTTCCGTAATGTTCTTTAGTCTTTTCCTTTCATAAGCTGACAACTGTGAGTATCCATCCTACAAAAAAGAAAATCCAGTTACTCTTCATCGTACAGTTACACTGCCTGCAAAAGATGTCCCAGGCTTCTGGGAAGTGAGTCTCTAAATTGATTGCCTGAATTATTTAAAAGTGGCTCAATGTATTTGTAAACAAACAAAAAACCATACAAACTGGGGTGACCTCCATCAATACCAAAACTTGTCCATGTAAGTACTAGCTTGCACTGCAAAACCTACTGCTAGCATTAATTCTACAAAAAGGGTCAGTTCATCAAAACCCTGCTAGAACAAAAATAATACTGAAGTGCCTCAATAAAGAACTTAAAACTTCAGCCACAGAGCAAACATTGCACATAAACAGAATACAGCCTCATTTTTATCTTTTATAGAGGAGAACAGCTTGAGAAGTTGAAAGGATGATTTAAATATAAATGAACATTGACAGAACTTTCATATCTTAGGACTGCATTCATCCATAAAAACATCTGGATGATGGTTATCGACAGCTTAACACACGGGTGCTTTTGCTACGGGTTTGGTATGCTCTGACTGACAGCAGGGGTGTTTTTTTCATCCCTTAGACATTCTGATAGGCTAAAACAGAGTTCTATACTACCACTCAGGTTAAAAAGAAAAAAATAAATTACATAACAAGGAAAAATACTTTCAAAGTTTTACAAACACCATAAACGTGTGTCTGGGGAACTGCAAAGCCATCATGGTCTTCCCTCTGCTGCAGCCAAGGGGCAAACAACCCCCGACGGACCCGCTGCTGCTCCTGCTGCTGCTCTGGGAAGGCAGCCGGGGACCCCCCTG